CACTCACTCACTCACTCACTCACTCACTCACTCACTCACTCACTCACACTCACACTCTCACTTTCACTCTCACTCTCACTCTCAAACTCACACTCACACTCACACTCACTCACTCTCCCACTCTCACTCTCACTCTCACTCACTCTCCCACTCTCACTCTCACTCACACTCACGCTCACTCTCACCCACACTCACTCACTCACCTTCAGTCTCACTCGCACTCACTCTCGCTCTCACTCACACTCACTCTCACCCACACTCACTCTCACTCACACTCGCATTCACTCAGTCTCCCACTCTCACTCACACTCCCTCAGACTTTCACTTTCCCACTTTCACTCACACTCACACTCCTTCACACTCACTCTCACGCACACTTACTCTCACCCACACTCACTGTCACTCACACTCGCACTCGCACTCACTCACACACACTCTCACTCACTCGCACTCACACTCACTCTCACTCACTCACTCACTCACTCTCACTCTCACTCTCACTCTCACTCTCACTCTCACTCTCACCCACACTCTAACTCTCACTCTCACTCGCACTCGCACTCGCACTCTGACTCTCACTCTCACTCTCACTCTCACACTCACACTCACACTCACACTCACTCACTCTCCCACTCTCACTCTCACTCACTCTCCCACTCTCACTCACACTCTCACTCACACTCACACTCACGCTCACTCTCACCCACACTCACTCACTCACCTTCAGTCTCACTCGCACTCACTCTGGCTCTCACTCACACTCACTCTCACTTACACTCACTCTCACTCACACTCACTCTCACTCACACTCGCATTCACTCAGTCTCCCACTCTCACTCACACTCCCTCAGACTTTCACTTTCCCACTTTCACTCACACTCACACTCCTTCACACTCACTCTCACGCACACTTACTCTCACCCACACTCACTCTCACTCACACTCGCACTCACACTCACTCACACTCACTCTCTTTCTCACCCACACTCGCTGGCACCCACCTCTAGATTTTCTTCTTACAGACCTCACACACACTGTTTGGGGTCTCTTGCCGGATAATTGTTTTTTCTGGCATTTTCGTTTGCAAACCCTCCGTTGACAGGATTATTTGAAGAAGGTGCAGACCTCAAATGCTATTCCTTTCAATTTGTTTTGGAACAGCTTTGAGATGGGCAATGCCAAAGATTAAGCAGAAGGACCATCTTTGCAACACGTGCTGTGAGTTCATCGTTTGCGTTCATGTCCAATAGTGCCTTAGTTGATGTTGAGTAGAAGACAAAGCAGACAGTGATAAAAACCAGAACATGTTTTTTTGAAAGCAAAAGTGTATGGGTGGTATTGTCATTCGGCTTTCAGGCGATCAAGACCGAAAATGCAGCCACAGTCCAATGTGACGCCTTCCAAATCGATATATTTAGCCAACAAGAGGAGCCGTGGTGCCAGCAACTCGTTTTGCTAGTTGCAGTAGCTTCAATGACCTACCAGTTCGTGTTTAGTCAGTTTTTTTAAGTTTGAATGCCTTCTCCGCAGGATGGCAACTGGAGCAAAGAAGAAAAGATGAGTGCATCTCTTCGTGACACTTGTGAAGACAGTCCTTATGGCTACATTGTGCGACAAGTGCCATAGAGGCAGGTTTCTTGTTTTTCTTGTTGAGCGAGCAGCACAGAAGTTCGTCTCTCCCATACAACCTCGACTTTTCTTTCACGGTGTACGATTCAAGGTTTGCAGTGTGGCATTTTGCCTCCTGGACTTCTACCAGGGTTATTTGTGATTGCCTGCTACCTTTCGTTCACCCCGTCCTCTCTCAAGTGTTTCTTGCTTCAGGGTGTCTTCCACAAGATCGACCAGGAGGAAACGAAAGAGTATCAGGTTTACCGTCGCATACCCAGGACTTAATGAAGGCTTAGGTTGGAGGCCATCGCTAGTTGGGCTACAGTAGGCGCTTTGAGACCTTTGCCCCAGGTCGTGAACTGGCCAAAGATCAATGGGACAAAAAGTTTCCATATTTGCCAGACAATTGATTGGACAAAAAGGAATGACAGTGAGGGCCAAGCATGGGTTGTTTTTTTGACTCAAACAACATGTACCTTGCTTTCAGCCCGAGTTCCTTCATCCTGAGTTTGTGTCTGGAACCACTATTCTTGTAAGACAATACTAGTGTTACTAGTGTTGGTTGCCTTTCTGCCTTATTTGCTGAGCTTGACAACCAAGCGCGTCGGTCTTATGGCCACACGGAGAAGCTTTAGAGTTCACTAACGTAGCCTTTTGGGAGCTGATCACGCACTGTTTGCGCTGTCAAATACAGTGAGTGTAGCTTTGGACAAAGGACTGCGCTTTGGCTCAAGAGTAGCTGCGTGCCTTTTGCCATGGCTTCAGGAGTGGGCAAAACTGGCAGATGTCACAAAGAGAAGAAGCAATCGATTTCCTTGAACTTTTGTGACATTCAACCACAAGACGGGAAGACAAACACCCCTGAAGTCCCTGAAGATGTCGCTTTTCTTGGTCTCAACGGGACGTGCCTTTGAAGGAGCCTAATACCTCACCACCAAAAGTTAAGGTGCATATGTCGCAGAGATTTGCAGAGTTTGGACTTCGCATATATAATTCCATGCTTTCGCTTCAAAAGACGGAAGTTGTGTTAGCTCAAGCTGGCGATAGCAAACTGGTAAACTGCGTAGAAACTGTTTATCAATGTGCTTCAATTTGGATCAGGCTGTGCTTGGACAGGCGCGATGGAGGCAATGGGACGCTCCCAACTTTGCCTATGGTGTCGACAGATCAATGTGCCCGGCAGAATCACTTGAGGTCTCATACTTTCACTCGTGCTTCGGGCTTTTGCTGCAGCTTTCCACAGGAATTGCCTCCTCAGATGCAGGATCAATAAATGAGCAAGGGTATTAGCTACAGGCGCTAGCAAGACAGCTTACACACTCAAGGTAAGGGGGCGAAAGTAAGGTGCACATGGGTGCACGCTATTAGGTTCCTTTTGCTATTACGTTGGAGGCCATCGCTCTTAGGGGGGGCGAAGGGGTTTGAAGCGTTTCATGCCTCACCAAGTTGAAAGCAAGGAGCGCTCGATCGCTCGAAGTGAAATTGCTTCAAATTGCTTCGACGCTGCACTGATGAGCGCTGCACTGCTACGGCTGCTGTGTGGCGGCAGTCTTCAGCCCGAAGAGGCACGGCTTGAGCCTCTCCTTCCATAACGCCACAGTCATAGCCTCAGACTAAACGATCTCAATAAATCTAGGAAGGTCATGAGAAGATGCAGTCATGCAATCTATAACATGTATATTCACAAATCGTTGCACAAAGGTTTGGCTGCAGTATGTAGTGAGATGCGCTTTTGGCTGCTAAGCCTGCCGCTGGCTCAGAGTTTGTCAGGGGCTCAGAAAAACATGGCCAACCAAGGCAGAAAGGGTAGTCGCTACAATCTTGGTTTGAGATTTGGTTGTGAAGCTGTTTGCAGGTGCCGTTGGCCAGTGCCTTTGCCTGCGGGCTATCTCATTAGCTGCAGCACGTCGGACGAGCTTCCAGCAGAAGATGTACCTGAGAATCAAGCAGAACAGAGAGCCATGGAGCGGAGTTGCAGAAGTTGTGCCTCCATCGGTCCCTGTTAGTAGCTTCTTGCTAGTAGTAATGCCCTTGTTACTAGTAGCGATGCACTTGTTACTACTAGCTTCTTGTTACTAGTAGTAAGGCACCTGTTACTACTAGCGAGGCACTTGTTCCTAGTAGCTAATTCTGATCCCAGGTCGACACTTGCGGCGTCACATGCGATGAGCTTTCTTGGCATTTCGGCTCCGCGGAGCTGTCCTGCGACAATGTCACAGGCACTCCGAGTTTCTTTTGTCTAGACAACGTGCTAAGTTTTTTGCGAAGTAAAAAGGTACAGACTTTTGTTTTATGGTATGTTTTAATCTAATGTTATCGAGCCTCCCTCCAGATTCCATCACGGGCTCCTTTGGCTGCCAAGTGGTAGCCTGGACTAGGCAGAATACAGCATTCATTCTATTGGATTTCCATGGATTTCCTTCACTTTGCAGGTCTTTTGAGCCTCTCTGGTTGCACAATACCCAGCTGCCCGACACAATGTGGTGCCTACAGCAACTTGGGCTCAGCCTCTTGGTGTGCAAGGTATTCTGATGAGTCTTGAAAAATGTCGAAACCAAGGACAATCAACGATGAAGCGTGATGAGATGTGATGGTTTGTTCTTTTTCCTGACCTGAAACCGCAGCGACCTTGGCCAGGTGCCTGGTGCGCAGATCAAGGCTTTGGCGGTAGACCACAGGCAGCAGCAGCTATTGGCCGTGGATGAGACCCAACATGTGGTTCTAGCACTTGGAGGCTCTGCAGGGTTCTGGCAGCTGCTATTAGGTTGGAGGCCATCACTAGGCCATCGCGAGTAGGGTGGAGGCCATCGGTACTAGGGTGGAGGCCATTGCTATTAGGGCGGAGGCCATCGCTACTAGGGTGGAGGCCATCGCTATTAGGGTGGAGGCCATTGCAATTAGGTTGGAGGCCATTGCTATCATGGTTCTGGCAGCCGTGACCAAATAGTTTGGCTGGTTTAGTTACTTCGTGTCACTTCCAGCTTTCCAGCTGATTTGTTCAGCAGTGTGTCGCTTGTGGAAAAGCATTTGCACCCTTGATACTGGAGGTCTTCGCAGCTTCTCAACCCAGGTTTCTGTGCTGCATTGATGAGAAACCAGACCTTTGGAGAGAGTTCCTGAGAATGGTGATTGCATTTCGACATGAAGGATACGCTGCCCATGTGCTGAACTTCAATCCATTTGGGACACTAGTTATTTCTTGCCTCCAGCTATATACTTTTCTCCTACGCCCGCCCACCTTCTCAACGCTTCCAATATGCAATTCCGTCACGGCAGCCTTGCCAGGTTTTGTGGGGCGCAAGTGGATTGCGGGGTGATGCAGATGGTTCGATCCTTGAGCTTTTGGAGTTTTTTCAGACCTGTTCACTGTTCAAGAACCAAGAGCTGAAGAGCACACTGGTAGGGGAACAATCCGGTATGGAAATTGCGTGAACCACTGGATCCCAACAATGAGCGAAAGGTGAAGCGACGGCCTCCGCACGATTGGCGGAGCCCTTCGGAATGGCGCTCACCTCGCCAGCTCTGACAGAGCGCTTGCTGTTTGTGGCGGATACAGGGAATGGGAAAGTAACTCGACATCAGTCCATTGCATGTAGCAGATATCATATATATCACTGCAGGTTGTTTGTTCTTGCAGCCACTAGGGGTTCTTTGGCAGAGAAGTGCTTTCATTTGCTTTGTCCTCGTGCAGTGTGTTGACAAACCACCTGCAAGTCTGCCAAGCAGTCCATGCACCAGGGTTCCTTTCAAGTTCTCGTTTTTGTAGTGTTTTGTCAAGCCATCGCTAGTAGGAGGCCGTCGCTATTAGGGTTCCTTTCATGTTTTATTGTTTCTTGGCTGAACCTTGAACGCACAGTGGAACCATGCTTTGCCAAGGTCCGCATGCTCAACCTCGTCACAAGTGCGGTGTCAACTGTTTGCAGCGGATTTTTGGAACCGAAGGCATTTGGTGGGCATGTCTTAGTTGTGTTATGTTGTCTTCATGAATTGCATTGGCACAAAAAGGCAACTTTTCCTGCTTGTGCTGAATGACCTGCTAAGTTTCTCATTCAGTTTCTGGCCTTGAGCTTCACAGGGAGACTGGCTTGGTCGAACTTCAACATAGATCGAAGACCCAGTTATTGCCTTTAACATCCTTTAGCATTGCGGGTCACTCTCCACAGCTGCCACTCTGCAAGGTATGGGTTATTATTTTGTGCCGACACCGAACTCACAGTCGTTGTTGCTAGCAATTCAGGCTTTGTTTGGCACCTGGCTCTTGTTACTACAGGTGAAGTGATTCCCAGTGGCCAAAAAAACACACACACACATTCATTTTGGCACAAAAGAAGGCCCCGAAGAAATTCAAGGCTGATATTGATATCGGCAATCCCTTCTTTTGGCCGTGTCCAGTCCATTGTGCTCTTGGAGAATGAGCTGCTCGTGGCAGATGCGGCAGCAGGTTACATCGCAAGGCAACAATCACTTGATGCTCAAATGTTTGACTCACCTGAGCGTCTTGAAAGTCTTGAAACAAATGTGTGGAAAAAGAAAGGATACTGTAGCGAGTCAGTAGAGAGTGCTGTAGTAATGGTCCACTGCTTTTGCAACTGTTGCTCAACGTGTTGCACAAATCAGATCTGAAAGGCTTCCGGTTGAACTGGCCTCACTGGCACTTGGTGCTGCAACTGTAGCAGCTGTGGGGAGCCCTGGTTTGGGGGAGCCACATTGGGCCCGACTTGACAAAGTACGACAGACAATGAGCAGGCAGTTTGCAAACATGAAGTTGGCTTATCATAGCCTGTCCAATTCTCCAAGTTGAAGGTTCAACATTAGTGCGCTTCTGAACAAGTGCAGGGTGCACTCCCTTCATGCAAAAGTCAACTTGCGTTCTCGCAGGCAACTTTGGAGCAACTAGAGGGGAGCTTGGGACTCTCGCGACCTACCTGGCTAGGCACTTATCGCACATACTTTTTCCGTTCAGCCGTTCAGCCGTTTTTGCTTCTGCCATTTTTAATCATACTGACATGTCTGCGTTGGCACCTTCAACACTGCTTGGAGCTGGTTTTCTATGTGGATACCAGATACAAGTAGCAAGTATCAAAATCCATTGTGGCGGTGGCCACTACTCCTTCCACATGGCACGGCTATGCTAACAACATGTTCACTATCTCGATCTACACCCAGGACCAAGTCTCTCAAAAAGTGCTTTAAACTATGGTATTATTCTCATAGTTGAGCAGTAGCAGTCCGGATGTATGTGCTTTACTTGGACAGGCTACCGCAGCGTTAGTGAAGAAGTCTTTGTCACAGAAGCTTCTGGTGCCTTTGGAACCTACCGCATGATGTTGAATGGCACTAGGACTGCTCCAATGGGATGCCAGAGAATGGCACAGCTTGTTTAAGTCCCTCACTCACAAGTCTTTTTGGCCCATTCGCTACAGTGTAGCTCTAAAAGGAGTCTGCTGCTTGCAAGCGGTACCTGGAGCAGCGGTGGGAATGGCGTGTTGCCACAGCCGCGAGCGCTTGCTGCTGTGACAGCACCAGGGCCATTGGCATTAGATGAAACGGTGAATGCCTCAGGGCCGTTGCTCAGTGCTATCTACAGTACTTGATGTACTCGGTATGTTCCTTTTCACTTTATTGGAGGCCATCGCTAGCCGCTAGTAGGTTAGAGGCCATCGCTACTATATAGGTTGGAGGCCATCGGTACTGGGTATGTTTCTTTAGACTTTAAACTCTTCTTTCTTTAAGGTTCTTTTCTTTGGACCTTTCTTTTTTCATGGCAGCTCTGTGTCACAAAACCTTTGGTCTGGGATGCTTTGCACAGTAGTTGGCACCTTGCTACTCCCAAGTCTCAAACCTTTCAATAAGGGACCTTAGATCTTAAAACGTTTAGGTGTTGGGCAATCCATTTGTTGGCTTACACCTCGGTTTGCCAATCTTTTTGTGGACACGTCGGCATCAGGTGGGGTTCTCAAATCTTCTGCTGGTTGATTCTGTTGAAAAGCGGCTTTTTGCACTGGAGCTCATGAAGTCAGGCCACTGTCAGTCTCAACTTTTTGTCGAGCTATTTTGTGCCAATCCATTTGCTGGCCTTGACGTCAAATCTGACCAGAAGCCTGACCAATCTTGTGTTTCAAGTTGGTTGTCTTGACCGTTTAGCTTCCTCCTTGGCTAGGCAGGAGTTGTGCAGATCTGGATTGGGACTCGGATCATCATGGCTCTCCAAAGATTTGTGGCCGCAGCGCGGGTGATGCTGCACTGCTGGGCAGCAGGCTGCCATAGAGGGGGGCGATCAAAACGTTCCACCTTCATGTCTACGAACATCTAAATTCACATTCGGGCAAGGCACGTCAAGACGTCCGTGCAATGGGACTTCAGAGTCGCAACCTATGTTAGCCTCGGAATGACTTGCCTCCACGTTCGAGGTGCAACTACACCTATGGTGCGAATGTTTGCTGTTCAGGAGCGCTGGTCACCTGTGAGGGATTAGAGGTAGCCTTAACCTCTAGCCTTAAGGGGGTAAGTAGCTCGAAACAAAGTACAACGATGGTCCTTTGCAATGCGACTTGTGCTAGGCAGCAGAAAAAAGGAAGGTAAGGGCCCCTTTGATAAGACCCTCTTTGAAGGAATTGCAACACAGCAGCAGGAGCTGTAAACCTCGCTGATGCAGAGATCTTTTGTTCCCAACAAGGTGCGGGGCAGCAAATGTTTTGACTTTGAATTTTGAATGATCTATCAAGATCTATTCAACTCATGGATTTTTTTGGAGAAGCTAAGCAACTCACAGACTCAATTGGTTTAGGAGCCCGGCTGTGCACTCAAGAAGAGCTCTTTGACAATGAAGCCAGTGATGGGCCTGTACATCCGCAGCTTGGCTTGTGCAGTCAGACAGCCGCAGTTGGCTTTGGCTGTTTGACACTTGATATTCTTCAGGCGTTCTTTGTCGCTTCAAGCTTTGGCACAGATTGCACATGTGTTTCACAGATTTCTCCGAGAAGCTATTGCTGCCTTCTGCTGCCGGGGTGTTTGTGACTTTCCAGTCATGTAGGGATTGCATCACCGGGCCCTCCTTTGTCTATGACGGGCCTTATGATCGCACGTGCCATGGCTGAAGCAAAACGAATGAATAGGTGAATCTTAATGGGCTAGAGTCAGAGGTTCAATTGGCAACATTTCAAGGACATGGAAGTTGAACACCAAGATACAGTGGAGGCCATTGCTAGTAGGTTTCCAATGCTCTTTGGTTGGAGGCCGTCGCTAGTAGGTTCCTTTTGCTATTAGGTGGGAGGCCCTTGCCTGCAACGCAACTGGCTTCCTTTCCTCAATACTGCTCGTCCCAGCTGCCTCAGGAACATTTGGAGCTCATCCCCTTGCTTTGTTGAGGGGACAGGCCGAATTTTCGAAAAGCCACAATACTTTTCCTTTTTCATGGAGTAAAAAGAAACAACAACATCAAAGAGGGTGCTCGCACCAGAGAAGAAGAGTATTCAGGACAACGAAGGATGTGTGCTTGGAAAGAGGCTTGATACTGTGTCCGTATAGCAAAGCGCCGCAGGTTTGCCAGGCTTCATGACCAGATCCGGGACAAGGAGTTGGGGGAATTGGGCGCCTGATGAATGCCGGATGCCGATGGATACCGCCTTTGTGACTTCCACAGTGCAGAACATGGACCGAAGGAACAAGAAGCTACTAGGAGAAAAGGCCATCGCTACTAGGAGCAAGGACGCTACTAGGGGCGTTCCTGCCCTTACTACTTACTAGGAACAACAAGCTATCAGGAACAAGGACCAAAAAGCAATATCGAAATGGCATTGACATGTTGCCATGCCATCGTTCCAAGACATGTTTGGAGTTGATCCAACAGTTGAGTTATATGGACATTCCAGAAGGATTCAGGTCAACAACAACTTGAAAACTGTGAACTTGCTAAGGTGAAATGCTGTGCAGATCGCGACCTTGTCATGCCCATGGCTGGCTTCGAACATGCAACCATCGGCACTGCGCACAGTGCCTTTGCACAATTTTTTAGATGGGCATGTGGATTTACAATACGCACACGCACACACACACAACGGCGCAATCAATCCTGACACACACACACATACATATGCAAACATGCAGTACAATTCTTGCCAGTAAGTATGTTTAGTGCCACGTGCCACACCTCAGGCCTTTTCCAGAAATTTACAGCAAATACAATAACAGCAGTGGCAGCCGTCCCTTGGTTGCTGTGTGGGAAAGTCCTGGGTTCTTTGCATGGTGATTCCTTTGCTGACAAGCTTAAGCTGTTTGTAGGGGAACTCTTTGGGAGATGAGATGAACGAAGAAAAGAACAGAAAAGAAGGAAGAAGGAAAGGTCTAAGTCTGAGGATCAAGAGACAAAACAAAGAACACCAAAAGCACAAAAGAGACAGCAACAAGATGAACAGAACAAGGCTTGTCTTCCTGGCCCAGGACCCTGCTCGGCGGTTTGTTTTCCTGGCTTTGGGTGGTGAGCTTGCCTTGCTGGCACTGGGAGCACAAGGTTTCATTGCAGCCGGGCAGATCGGCTTTGAGGCACCGGAAGCAACATCTTGTTTCGGCGACTGTAGTGGTAAAAAACTATTGCATTTGCGACTTAAGGCCTTGGAGGACAATCATTCACACAATCCCCTTGCTACTACCTCACTGCCTGACCTGTTGCTACTGACAAAAATGCCGTTTGGAAGACACCACAGCATGCTTAGGGAAAAAACAGTGCCGTTTGATATGAGGATGTCATTGGCAACCCTGGTGGCATTGCTTGGAGTGAAGAAGACGCACTCCTTCTAGCAGATCGACGTGGGCATGTGCTACGGAGGGTAGATGTGCCTCTCGGACACATCAAGATCATGCAACCTAATAGCAATGGAATCCACCCCAACAGCGATGGCCTCCAACC